AATGGATTGACTCTCTCATGACTTTCGGAAGGATCTGTTTCCTCTGTCTCTCTTTCTTTTTGCCGAATCTCTCTCTCTCTCTCTCGCCCCGATCTAGGTCGCATCACGAGTGGCGCTAGCAATCATCACTGCCTTGCTTATATATCCTCGTTAATTCCTTTCCACATTTAATTTGTGCGAATCGGCAGGTTTCCGGGATCGCAATGCCGTCGAGGGAATTCCAGGAATAAAGATGATTAATTTGTAATTCACCGGCCCATGACTTCATCCTTACACCACCTTTTCGTGATAAAATCGGGATAAAATATTGAGAAAATATCGGTAAAAATATCGATAAATCGTGCTAAAATTAACCTCGTCGGATTCCTTAAACCAATCGTTTCGCTGCGATCGTCACGCGAAGGTCTCAACTCGGGAGAGAAATGTGTCTTCCGGGATCCCATCGAACACCGAGAGATTCTTCCCGTTCCCATGGCAACAAGATATCCCGTCCGGAGCGAGAATATCTATTTTCCTTTCCCTTGCATCCCTCGAAATCCCGACCGGGTGAAAATTCCGTCCCGACCGCGAAAGGGGGAGACATCGGGACGGATCTATTTTGAAAACAAGGGAAGGAAATATGGGGATCGTTGGCCGGGCGCCAATTTCCCCCCTTTCGCCCCTTCTCCACGGAATATCTTTCATGGCCTTGGCTCTAAAATCTCTGTCTCCTGTTTCTCTCCTTCCGACGTGACTTCTTTTCCTCACTCTCCCGCCAACAGCCGAATCGTGGCATTTATCCAATGGGGTTGTTGCTTTCTCCTCGATACGTCCGACTCTTTCCTTGTCGGTCGACTCTTTCCTTGTCGGCCGAGATTTTCCTGCTTTTGCTCGCTTGTTTCATCCGTTTGTTTGTTTCTCGAGTATTTTCAGCAACGTTCCTCTCGCATTCATTCCTGGAATGATTGTTTTGGCCGATGCTTTTTCGTTCCATCTCCGTTCTTTCTTCATTTGCGAAAATTTTAATGAAGACTCTATCGTTCGACTCGTTCACCGACGACTTGGTTTCTTATGTAATCGAGTTATTTATACTCGCGTCGATTCCTTACCGATTCTTTTCTATACGCATCACTTTTTCCTGCTTCTTTTTCCTTTAAAGTCATTTTTTGTCCCTCGTACACGAGAAGTTGAAGTCTCCTTTAATCGGATTCAGATTTGCTAATTTTGAGACGATTTATTTACAGAGCCGCTTTGAACTCCCCGACGACCTTAATATCCCAATCGTTGATGCTAGAGTCGTCACGACACTGGAGTAAGACGGAACGAAGGGGACCAGTCGCGGGAACGAGGGTGGGGGGGACCAGTCGGGGGCACGAGGGGGGGGGGGGGGGGGGGNGAACGAAGGGGACCAGTCGCGGGAACGAGGGTGGGGGGGACCAGTCGGGGGCACGAGGGGGGGGGGGGCTAGTTTGGGGAAGGCGAGGGACCAGTCTAGAGAAAGAGGGTGGCAAGTCGTGATGAATGCCTTGTGTGCATCGGGTTCCTTCCTTCCTCCGTCCATCGATCATGTCGTTACAAGGAGTGACACTGTATAGCACTTTCTTCTTTCCCCCGAGGAACTCCCATCCTTCGATGGTGTGGGGGGAAAGCGAATGCAAGCATCGGGCCGGCGTTGATGGGGGGATCGGGGAGAGATTATTGGGATTCTGCACTCGAGCCGTGCCGATTAAGAGACTCGAGAGAGAGTCAGATCGAAGATTCGTCTATGACGCACGATCGCGTGTGACGTCGAGGTGAAAACGGCGCGAGGAAACGTCGGCACGTGGACGGTCGCGACGAGAGGGAAGAGATGAAATCGGTGGAAAACGGCGCAGTGTAAAGCGGCGAGGGAGGAAAGGCATAAAACAGCTCACCGTGTAGGACATGGCCTCTAATAGCAAAATAGGGTTGTCTGAGACCCACGACGGTGACGGATCGATTGAGAGAAAGCCAATTTGTCTGCTTGGCCCCCGGCCCATTGACAAGGCTGGACTCGGGACAAAAGAAGGAAATCACTTCCAACCGAGTGAGAAGCGATTCCGTCGATCCCTTCGACGAGGAACGAGCTCGCCCCCCTCCCCCCCCCCCCCCCCCCAGCCCCCATTTGATGCGTATGCAATATGTCCCCCCCCCCCCCCCCCCCCCCCCCCCCCCCCCCCAGCCCCCATTTGATGCGTATGCAATATGCATCGCGGCGAGGAGCGTCGGATGGAGAGCGCGTCACCTCGCCGCTAGGAAGAGGAAAAGGAAAGTCAGGAAGTGAATGGCAGGAGAATCGAATAAGGAAGGAGATGAAAAGACATCGCAGTCGAATTCAGAAGAGAGCGTAATCCAATAGCCGGGCCGAGTGGAAGCCCGAGGGAAATGCATATTCCATCGCGGATCCCCCTCGCTTTTCTTCCCTTTTTCCCCTCTCTTTCTTCCCCGTATCGCCGCTCCGAAAAGCCGGTAAATACCGGATCTCTCTCGTCTGCTTCTTCTTTCCCCTTCGAAAGTTCCCTCCGATTCCCTCGAAACACCCACGTTATAAACGGATCCCCGAGATAGGATGAAGTCATCTATTTGGCCCACTGTAACCCAATTGTCCCGTCCGCTGGATCGATGCACCCATTCTGTCGAGTCCCGGCGTCACGACCGCCGATCGTGGCAGTCCCCTGTTGCCGGTCCCCTGTTGCCAGTTCCCCGTAGTCGGTTCCCAAGTCAGATTCCTTCGTTTCTCTCTTGCGGCTTTGCTCTGATGGCTTTCTGCTCGATTGCGTGGAGAATCCATTAGTGCGAGCTTGATGAGACAGTTGCCTCGTTTCTCCTCGCTCGGTGTTTGCATGCGTTTCCGGTCCGGTTTCAGCCTCCTGCTTCCATTTTCTCCTTGGTTTTTCTTTTCCCTTTTTTTCCCCTTCCAGGAATCGCAGAAGATCGTATCTAACGTTATGAAACCCGATTTTCTTCACCCTTGTCACGTCTACACTCCATCAATAGCACGAATCTGGGTCGTCCCTTGCCCCCCCCCCCCCCCCCCNTCCGAAGATCATAAGGCGTTTGCGGATCCAGCTGGCCGGAAGGGCCTTATCAGGTGTAAACCTGCAAGGTTTTGGAAAGGATTCTCTTAGGGAATATGAGGTTGTTTTTGGCCAGGGCTCCATGAATCTGTCTCGAATATGGGGATAAAAAAAAATGAAGTGTCCGTTTTAAGTGATTCCTGTAATGAGACGAAACGAGACACACGGCAAGGTAATAAACACTCCTGTGAGGGACGATTCCGGGAAAAGGGAGAAGAGTACTTTTGCGTACTGTGAGGAAAGCGAGACCCGCGACTCCATCTATTGTCCTGAAGGACAACTTGGAAATTCCCCTAAGACTACTAAGTGCGTGTTGTATCAGAACGTTGTCGCTACGTTGTCGATGTCTACAGTGTCAACATTATTTCAATGTCGATTGCAAATGTTGCAATAATAATTCGTAGAGGTGTCTCAGCAGCTAAGTGCTCATAGGTGAAAAACGTTGAAGCGGTGTTTCTTCGATGTTGTTCATCAGTTGCATGCCAATGTGCGTGCGAGTGTGGTTCGGCAGTTCGGCAGCAATCAATTGCCTTTGAATAACTTTAAAAAAAGGTTTTAGGAAGTGATGCAACAGTTGGAACACGAGAGCTTTTAAGCGCTCTTGAGAAATTTGAGAAAATTCTCAGAACTTAAATGCGACGCTTTCGGGGAACACAGAACCGGTTGCTCGATTTTCCCGAGATGCACGCACGCGGCACTCGCGGAATCGCGTCGCAATAACGTTCGACTCCAACAGAAAAATTTCGCAAAAATTATTTGTCCGGGGGGGGGGGGGGGGGGGGGGGGGGGGGG